GAGTGAGTTGAGTTTTACGCCGCCCTCAGCAATATTCCAGCTATATGGCAGCGGTCTGTAAATAATCGAGTCTGGAACAGACAATCCAGTGATCAACAGCATGAGCATCTATTGGCGCAATGTGTCAACCAAGTCAGCGAGCCCGACCACCCGATCCCGTTAGTCGCCTCTTACGACAAGCATGGGTTACTGAAGATCAATATTCTAACCCTGACCTTCACGGGTAGACAAGCATGGGTTACTGAAGATCAATATTCTAACCCGGACCTTCACGGGTAGACAAGCATAGGTTACTGAAGACCAATATTCTAACCCTGACCTTCACGGGTGGACAAGCATGGGTTACTGAAGACCAATAGTCTAACCCGGATCTTCACGGGTAGACAAGCATAGGTTACTGAAGACCAATATTCTAACCCACACCTTCACGGGTGGACAAGCATGGGTTACTGAAGATCAATATTCTAACCCGGATCTTCACGGGTAGAGAAGCATGGGTTACTGAAGATCAATATTCTAACCCGGACCTTCACGGGTGCCACTACTGTAAAGGGCTACTTGTGTAACCCATCTTCAGAGGCCAAGATCCAACGGTCAGGAAATGATATCATGTTTTCTGGCTTATTTCTCACGCTACCTCGAGTAACGCTGCTGAACGATATCATCAAAATATTTTTTTAAATATGTAAATATAATTACTGTCAGGAAAACCTCCAGTTGAGATAAACCCTATGATCATGTCCGGGATATGGCTAGCAGCTAACAGGGCTTTCATTGATGTCAGACTCTCACCAGACTGACATCGTGTCCCAAAATTAGCATAAATTTACAGAAAAACCCAGTCCATTAATTACCTTAATGAAAAATAATAAAAGGAGCCGAGAGAGTTTTTATTTTCAGAAACTGCAGTCATCTGATCTTGACAAATATCCTTATGGACTGGCTGTATTGGATGTTTGTTTCAGGGTCTCTATGACACGCATTGGCTGTATTGGATGTTTGTTTCAGGGTCTCTATGACACGCATTGACTATTAGATGTGTTTGTTTCAGGGTCTCTATGACACGCACTGACTGTATAGGATGTGTTTGTTTCAGGGTCTCTATGACACGCAATGGCTGTATTAGATGTGTTTGTTTCAGGGTCTCTATGACACGCACTGGCTGTATAGGATGTGTTTGTTTCAGGGTCTCCATGACACGCACTGGCTGTATAGGATGTGTTTGTTTCAGGGTCTCTATTAGACTAACAACTAGTCTCTGAATTGATGACATATTATACTATGTTTCAAAAAGTCTCTATGACACGCATAATGAAAAGAAGCTGGACGTGTTTGTTTCAGGGTCTCTGAGAAATCTAGACTTGCCACGCATTTTCTGTATCGGACGTGTTTGTTTCAGGGTCTCTCACGCAATGGCTGTATCGGATTTGTTTCAGGGTCTCTATGACACGTGGCTGTATCGGACGTGTTTGTTTCAGGGTCTCTATGACACGCATTGGACACGTTGTATCGGACGTGTTTGTTTCAGGGTCTCTATGACACGTATTGGCTGTATCGGATGTGTTTGTTTCAGGGTCTCTCTGACACGTATTGGCTGTATCGGATGTGTTTGTTTCAGGGTCTCTATGAGAGATTGCTCTGCCAGTAATGTCTGTCGCGCTGTGTCGAGAGGCCGGTAATATTGGGCTGTCACTTCAAGGTGTTACCTTGAAGACATTGGATTACACGCCCAGAGAATGTGTAATTACCATAATGTTGTTATTGTAAGATGATCCGTGGGTGTCAGTCATGATCGATTTGTGGACTTGTAGACACTGCCGGTATACGCTATATATAATTTAATGCAATTTACAGGCATATTTCGCCATCAGCTGATATTGTTTGAAACTACTGTTTACAATGAACTGTTGATACAGAAAAAAAGACGTCCTGTCTCTTAGATACGTTGCTATCAGGCAAAAGCGTATTCCAAAGCATTAGGCTCGCGCTCAAGTGTTTTGTAAACGTATATTATTGTATATATTGTGAGCCAAAACCGGAAAGAAAATGCGTTGTTACCAAATGTTACCCAAATGCCCTTGACTGTAAAATGTTCAGTCAGGACAAATTGCTGTCTGAACCAAAACAAATAAATATTTTTTCTTTTATGAAGATCTCCCCACCGATGACCGAGTCTTTATACACAAAACTATTAATGAAACAGGAGCCACGCATGCTTACTGACGTTGAAATATACGAAGAAATTATCCCCTTATAATAGTTATAGTCATACATAACATAGTGATACCCAGTGAGTGAGTTATACTTTTACGGCGCTTTTAGCAATATCCTAGCAATATCACGGCGGGCAACATCAGAAATGGGCTTCACACATTAAACCCTCGTGGGGAATCGAACCCGGACTTCGGCGTGACGAGCGGGCGCTTTAACCACTAGGCTACCCCATCGCTCCTAATGATGGCAAAAGGCACAGATTCTGGTGTTGTTTCACCTGTTTCCACTAATATCTCCACCAAGTGAGTTAGAAATCCCGGCATCAGAGGCGTTTGTTCCTTTATCAATCTGATTAGCTGCAGCATTTGCCGCGGAGACAGTTGGCCTACAGTCATAACCACTTACGTAGGAGACGATAATCTGCGGCCTGCTTGGGTGCAGGAACACGCTGAGTTGAGTTACCCTAGTCCCGGTGGCCGCTGCCAGGTGTTACGAGACAGTACGAGACATTGCGAGGCATTAACGAGATATTCCGAGGCTCTATCAGACAACGTGGCCTTGAAGAGCAGCGTCTGGGCTCCGGAAGATGCAAATCATACCATGGTGATCACTTGTTTCCCATCTTAATCCGAGATATACTTCTTTCTGACTTGGTAACGAACGATAAAACAATTTTAGGAAAACGTCTACATTTGTATTAAGACCACGGTCGTTGTATTGTATGTTTCTTGAGAATCTTTTTTTTCTAAAGCATGATGGCCATGTTTTCAAAGCGGCGTGAATTCCAAGTCAGTCACTCACTCACTCAAGGTGCTGACTGCGAAGGAGCCGTGTTCTGACGATCAGGATCCACCAACATGTGAATTCAGAATGTCCCCCTCATCAGTGTAAGGTATAGTCTTATTACAGCTAACACCCGACTGGTCTGAGTGAGTTAGTATGGTTTTACGCCGCTTCTGGCAATATTCCAGCAATATCACGACGGGGGGACACCAGAAATGGGCTTCACGCATTGTACCTATGTGGGGAATCGAACCCGGGTCTTCGGCGTGACGAGCGAACGCTTTAACAACTAGGCTACCCCACCGCCCCTATAAATGAGGGCAGGTTATCTTATAGCTGTGTCGTCGTTTTGTACAGATAAAGGTCGAGGTGTTATTGATCATTATTACCGTCAATGATTGATTTTCTAAAGAATTATCACGTGATACCTTTTTGGTTTAACACTGCACGCAAAAAAAGTCCATCTGTATAAGGGAGGACAGAGGGTACCAGACAATCCAGTTATTGATGTCATGTAAACCGATCAACGCAAATGAGATACGATAAAATACATTAGATTAGCACGGTCGTGGACAGCACCGTACGACAAACACAGGTTGCAGAAGTTTACAGACACAAACCATGTACGTATATGTTAAAATGTTATCACAGACCGACTGACACCTGAAAACACACGTAAACATAGATAGAGAGATAGATAGAGATTGAGAGATGAGATAGAGATAGATAGATTAGAGAGATAGATAGATAGATAGATTGAGAGAGATAGATTGAGAGATAGATAGATTGAGAGATAGAGATAGATTGAGAGATATATAGATTGAGAGATAGATAGATAGATTTGAGAGATTGAGATAGAGATAGATTGAGAGATAGATTGAGAGAGATAGATGAGATTGAGATAGATAGATTGAGAGATAGATAGATTGAGAGATATATAGATTGAGAGATAGATTGGTAGAGAGATAGATTGAGAGATATAGAGATATATATATATATAGAAAGAGAGAGATATAGAGTGATAGAGGTAGATAGATATAGATAGATAAAGATAGCGATAGACAGAGGAATAGAGACAGATTGACAGCTAGCGATAGAGATATAGATAGAGACAGAGATAATATATAGATACAGATTGATAAATAGATAGAGATAGAGAGAGATAGAGATAAACACTAGTAGGTACTAAAACCACGAGAATGGACAGACACGTTTAGGCGGAAGCGGATGAAGAATGGACACAAATCTGTAAATCTGTAACACTATCTGATGTTCGCAAATATACCGCCTGTCTTAACTACAAACTCGTCAAGTTCCTGAACTGTGATTGGTTGATTGTGAATGGCTGAAACTGCCCAAGTCATTAACTAACTGGACAGGACGGGGGAATGAATCCTGGGTAATGTCCGACATACGGGTCTGTTTAGACATTCGGCTTGTCAGAGGTTGGCATGCATAATTGATTCGGTTTTATAACGAGGGTAATGCCACCTAACTCACTTCATCCATCGCTTGTCAAAATATGTCGGACATAATAACGCTTAGCATGTATGCGCGTCTTGCAATGCTCAGTCGTCTCTTTGTTTACCCGTGTTTACCTTTGTTTATATCTACAACATTTTAAACAGAATTTAAAAGGCGGAAATAAATAAAGTCTGCTTCCAATTTCCCTCAGCCGTTTCTTATAAACCACCTTGGCATCGAGTACTGGCCAACAACAGAGTTGAATTCCGAACATGTGAAATATTCAAGTACGGTTAAATTGTGGACCCTCGACTCCATCAAAACGGGACGGCAGTAGCCGGCCATCTGGAACTGATGAGATTCTTGAGGAACCCCGCGCATCCCCTTCATGCAGCTTGCTTTGTGTTGTAGATCCCTCTCCCCATTCCGACCCCCCATCCCTACTCAAACGCCCTCTGATCCAGCGTCACTACGCCAATGTAACATACACCACACTGAACTTTTACCGACTTTGCATCAAAACACAAATAGAATCTTACTTTTCTGGAGGCGTGTGAGCTTTTTCGGGGTTTCAGCTGGAGGAGTTTCTTCCTCGGGTGTAGTAACTTCCTCAGGCTGGGTGTCCTCGGGTGTGGGTTGTTCCGGTTGTGGATCGACCGGCGTTGGATTCGCTTCATTAACCTCCTCCAATGTTTGGGGAGCCTCTGTCACCTGTATTGCAGGATTGTCTGCAGATGCTGGAACCTGCTCATCCGTAGCCTCAGGAGGACGTTCTGGCTCGACTTTTGTGGCTTCCTCGTTGGCTTTTTCTTTAACATCAGGGTCAACGCCGCTAGAAGCCATCTTGAAATATCCACTTATCTTTTAAAGCGATAGCCTTCCGCTCGCTCCAGTCGGATCTGGGCTGTGTGGGAGAGATTCCTTACTTCAGTCCCCGGCAAATTCCCAACAATTTACGACGGTGTAGGAGTGTCAGTGAGGCAGAAATGAGAAGATACACGTGAATTATCGTCTGCTCCCCTGCTCGGACGTTTGCCGGAAGTTCCAACACTGACCGTTCAGCTGTCTATCTGAGACGTGTACACGCTTCGGGGTCTGATATCCAATTAACGCATTTACACTGGTAAACGTGTGAAAACAGTGTCCCCGGCAGGGCCTGTTGGAGCACACTCACGGTATTACATCACACTGCAACCTCCAGGAACGATGCCACGATGGATTCTCCTCTTTATGCTCCGAGCTCCGGTGACTAACAAGATATGTGTTTAATTAATCTCTTATCGCCTCCCGGTCAGTCTACTTTCAGCTTGGAAAGTTTGTAAACAGTAAACCAACTTGTATTATAAACAAAACACAACCTTGACGATCCTCACCTGCCTCCCGTCATAATCGGGCAGACGATGGAAGAAGCAGACGACACTAGATGAAGACCAGAAGTCAACCGCCACTCGAGACACGGACTTTTTTGCAATCAAATGTGTAAGACTCGTACCATTTACGTGAGATCGTAGGTCAAGCCATACACGGAGAAGATCGGCTCATTTGAAGCAAGGCAGACCCTTCACCAATATCCCATCAATGTTTCCAAAAGTTTCTATGAGACCGATCTCCAGCGTCCAATCTTCGCCCTCAACATCCAACGGAGGACCGCCCATCTGTCAACATGGCCGCTCATTAAACAGTCAAAGACTTTGTACGCTCTCTTCTTTAAAACATCCCTATCTGAGGCACCCCGTGAACAGCAAGCTAAATCGTTCAGTCAATCTGCTGGAAGCGTACTGGCAGTTGGTAGCAGTTTAATTTTTCCTCGGACACGAGTGTACGGCCTGGAGGAGCGTTGCGATGCTGTCAGGGTTCACATATCTCGGCGAACTGCATCTGTTTCAAGATTTGTATCTGAGGAGGAGCGGTGGGTGGGGGAGAGGGGGTAGAGGTAGCGTTAGACGGGGAGGGGGAGCTAGATGATGAAGAGAACGACAGACGCCGGTACAATCCATGTGCATGAGTTTTTTTAAGGCTGAAAGAAATTTTCAGAGATGTAAAAAATTGCAGGGCCATTGCTTTGGGTTTGAAACTTGAGAATGACGTGTATACTACGGGTCTTTTTAAGGCTACAACACATGTGGGGAGGAGGGTATATCGATGTCATCATAACACTGACGGCAATAGCCTTGCTCGAATCTATACTGGTGGAAATATCCATGTCAGGCCGTTTATTGCACCTGGGAGATGGGCAAATATAATTGAAATACACCGAAAATCAAGAATCTCATTCGAACAAAATAGGTTTACGCTTTTCAAAATTATATTTTTAAACAAAAATGAACTTTTATTAAAATGTTGTTAAAATGTGTTTCATTATGGACATATTCAGGTCTTGAGTAAAACAAACGACACAAATTAGCCGCTCAGATACATAATAAAGTCCCAGGGTTCTGTTTTGACATAAGGTAATGAGTGTGTATGATAAGTTACGAGAACACACAGGAAATAAACCCGATATAAAGGAAGACGAAAACAAATTACGAGCGCATGAAAACAATCCATCTGTCTCAAGGCAGAACGAGCCTCCACTGCAGGTTATTTATACGGTAGGACGGCCTTGCGTCTTCAAGACATACTACGGATGCCAGGGTGCCTGTTTTCTCTGTCAACACACTTGAAAGTAAGCTGTTACGTAGCACTGACATGTGCCCCGGCACCCCCACCCCCTGTACGCTGCACAGTTCCTGAACAGTGATTGGTGTAAATTATGTATATTCTTTCTTCCCTTGCACAGCCGTTCACCAGTTTATCGAGTTTGGTCCGGATACAGCAGTGTCCTAATTACAGAATATAAGCCACGAGACATCGGTATGATCTCGCCCAAGGAATGGCTCACAGTTCCTGAACCATAAAGATATTTTCCTCCCTCTGAGTCTCTACTGGAATACTGTAGTCTAAATAGACTATGCCCTGATGTTCGACAGTTTCTGAATATCCAGTCTCTCTAGGGCCCCTTTTCAATTTAAATGGAGTTGTCTTTCTTATTTCAAAATTATATATTTGCAGAGACTAAATCTCAGTCTAGGAGAGTGTATGTCAAGTAAGTCTCGAGACACGTGCAGCAAACATTCAAGTGGGGAACATGATCTCTAAATCTGAGTCACAAGTAAACAGCTGGCAAGAAGCACGTATACTCCCATGTTTGATGGGCGACAAGCAAGAAATGGAATGGTTATTTGATGGTGATATATCTGTATATTGTACATCCTAGTTGTGCTTTGGTCTTGTAATTTCGGCTACTAGTAACCGTTTGGTAACGTTTGTAAGTTTTAAGTTAAATGAATATTTTTTCATCTTTTGATTGGCAGTTTAGGTCATCCTGAATATCGCCATTGTCGCCTTAAGAATAGAAATAAAAACAATTGTATGACATTCATCTCTGAAGTCCGGCTAATGTTGAGATAAGGTAATGTTATCAACTTATAACGACTCGTTTGTATTTTTCAACAATCAATCAGTTCAACGTCACATAGCTTCAACTGATCATTTAGCATCGAGAATCGCTTAACTGCACAAAAGCAATTGTTTGTAAGTCATAAAACTCGATCTGTCTGCCCATTTCGGTACAGTAGGTCAATACTGTGGAGCTTTGATATCTTCAGTATACGATTGTGATATATTGTGTCGTAGAACAGTGAATGTTCTGAATGTTCTACAATAGAATGATATACACTGTAACATTCTACAGTAGAATGATAGATGTTCTCTACAGTAGATATATACGGTGAAATGTTCTACAGTAGATGAAATGTTCTAAAGTAGAAATGATATACGGTGGTTTGTACTACAGTAGATATATTTACGGTGAAATGTTCTAAATAGAATGATATACGGTGGGTTGTTCTACAGTAGAATGATATAAATTGGAACATTATACAGAAGAATGATATACTTTGGAATGTGCTACATGAAAATGATATACAGGGAACTATTCTACAGTAGAATGATATACGATGGAATGTTCCACAGTCGAATGATATACGTTGAAAAGTTTTACAGGAGAATGATACATAGTGGAACATTCTACAGTAGAATGATATACGATGGAATGTTCCACAGTCGAATGATATACGTTGAAATGTTTTACAGGAGAATGATACACAGTGGAACATTCTACAGTAGAATGATATACGATGGAATGTTCCACAGTCGAATGATATACGTTGAAAAGTTTTACAGGAGAATGATACATAGTGGAACATTCTACAGTAGAATGATATACGATGGAATGTTCCACAGTCGAATGATATACATTGAAATGTTTTACAGGAGAATGATACACAGTGGAACATTCTACAGTAGAATGATATACGTTGAAAAGTTTTACAGGAGAATGATACATAGTGGAACATTCTACAGTCGAATGATATACGTTGAAAAGTTTTACAGGAGAATGATACATAGTGGAACATTCTACAGTAGAATGATATACGATGGAATGTTCCACAGTCGAATGATATACGTTGAAATGTTTTACAGGAGAATGATACATAGTGGAACATTCTACAGTAGAATGATATACGTTGAAAAGTTTTACAGGAGAATGATACATAGTGGAACATTCTACAGTCGAATGATATACGTTGAAATGTTTTACAGGAGAATGATACATAGTGGAACATTCTACAGTAGAATGACATACGATGGAATGTTCCACAGTCGAATGATATACGTTGAAAAGTTTTACAGGAGAATGATACATAGTGGAACATTCTACAGTAGAATGATATACGATGGAATGTTCCACAGTCGAATGATATACGTTGAAATGTTTTACAGGAGAATGATACACAGTGGAACATTCTACAGTAGAATGATATACGTTGAAAAGTTTTACAGGAGAATGATACATCGTGGAACATTCTACAGTCGAATGATATACGATGGAATGTTCCACAGTCGAATGATATACGTTGAAATGTTTTACAGGAGAATGATACATAGTGGAACATTCTACAGTAGAATGATATACGATGGAATGTTCCACAGTCGAATGATATACATTGAAATGTTTTACAGGAGAATGATACACAGTGGAACATTCTACAGTAGAATGATATACGTTGAAAAGTTTTACAGGAGAATGATACATAGTGGAACATTCTACAGTCGAATGATATACGTTGAAAAGTTTTACAGGAGAATGATACATAGTGGAACATTCTACAGTAGAATGATATACGATGGAATGTTCCACAGTCGAATGATATACGTTGAAATGTTTTACAGGAGAATGATACATAGTGGAACATTCTACAGTAGAATGATATACGTTGAAAAGTTTTACAGGAGAATGATACATAGTGAAACATTCTACAGTCGAATGATATACGTTGAAAAGTTTTACAGGAGAATGATACATAGTGGAACATTCTACAGTAGAATGACATACGATGGAATGTTCCACAGTCGAATGATATACGTTGAAAAGTTTTACAGGAGAATGATACATAGTGGAACATTCTACAGTAGAATGATATACGATGGAATGTTCCACAGTCGAATGATATACGTTGAAATGTTTTACAGGAGAATGATACACAGTGGAACATTCTACAGTCGAATGATATACGTTGAAAAGTTTTACAGGAGAATGATACATCGTGGAACATTCTACAGTCGAATGATATACGATGGAATGTTCCACAGTCGAATGATATACGTTGAAATGTTTTACAGGAGAATGATACACAGTGGAACATTCTACAGTAGAATGATATACGTTGAAAAGTTTTACAGGAGAATGATACATCGTGGAACATTCTACAGTCGAATGATATACGATGGAATGTTCCACAGTCGAATGATATACGTTGAAATGTTTTACAGGAGAATGATACACAGTGGAACATTCTACAGTAGAATGATATACGATGGAATGTTCCACAGTCGAATGATATACGTTGAAATGTTTTACAGGAGAATGATACACAGTGGAACATTCTACAGTAGAATGATATACGATGGAATGTTCCACAGTCGAATGATATACATTGAAATGTTTTACAGGAGAATGATACACAGTGGAACATTCTACAGTAGAATGATATACGTTGAAAAGTTTTACAGGAGAATGATACATAGTGGAACATTCTACAGTAGAATGATATACGTTGAAAAGTTTTACAGGAGAATGATACATAGTGGAACATTCTACAGTAGAATGATATACGATGGAATGTTCCACAGTCGAATGATATACGTTGAAATGTTTTACAGGAGAATGATACATAGTGGAACATTCTACAGTAGAATGATATACGTTGAAAAGTTTTACAGGAGAATGATATATAGTGAAACATTCTACAGTCGAATGATATACGTTGAAAAGTTTTACAGGAGAATGATACATAGTGGAACATTCTACAGTAGAATGACATACGATGGAATGTTCCACAGTCGAATGATATACGTTAAAAAGTTTTACAGGAGAATGATACATAGTGGAACATTCTACAGTAGAATGATATACGATGGAATGTTCCACAGTCGAATGATATACGTTGAAATGTTTTACAGGAGAATGATATACAGTGGAACATTCTACAGTAGAATGATATACGTTGAAAAGTTTCGCAGGAGAATGATACATAGTGGAACATTCGACAGTAGAATGATATACGATGGAATGTTCCACAGTCGAATGATATACGTTGAAATGTTTTACAGGAGAATGATACACAGTGGAACATTCTACAGTAGAATGATATACGTTGAAAAGTTTTACAGGAGAATGATACATCGTGGAACATTCTACA